AGCAGCTCCATCCAAAGTGGGATGAATGCCGTCTCTCCTAATAAGACCAGGTTTTCCCCAGAAAGTTTGCCAATTATTAACGAAACCCACATCGTTTGCTGGACACCACCTGGACAGCCAGCGATTAAATGATGACATGCAGCTAAACATGTCATCACTGGTCAGATTTGGGAGGGGTCCAGAGAAAACTACGGAGTCCGACATCGTTTTTGCATATTCACACACCGAGGCAATATTAATTTTAGTGACCTCCGATTGGCGTAACCGGGTGTCATTGCCGCCGACGTGAATAACAATCTTACTGAATCTACGTTTACCTTTAGCCAGCAGTTTTAAATTTGATTCAGTGTTGCCCGCTCTGGCCCCAGGTATACATTTGACTATGGCCGCTGGTGTTGCTAACTTCACGTTTCTCAGAATAGAGCTGCCAATAACCAGAGATTTATCCTCAGCGGGTGTGTCGCTGAGTGGGGAAAAGCTGTTGGAAACGTGAACAGGCTGGTGGTGAGCCATGGGCTTTGGCTTGGAGCTGTGCTTCTGGCGAACCGTAACCCAACCTCCCGGCTGAATGGGAGTTACCGGAGGACAGTTAGCAGAGGCTAAGGCAATGCTATGTGGCTCCGCACCGGCTACAGGGGGCTGGCTAACTACCACAGCTACTGAATGGTTTTCCATGGTGCGGAGCCGCGCTTCTAATTCACTAAGCCTCGTTTCCAACGCAGCAAATAAGCTACACTTATTACAATTACCACTGTCGCTAAAGGAGGCAGAGGCATAACTGAACATTTGGCACACCGAGCAAGAGAGAGCAGAGGGAGAAGCCGTCGCTAACTGTAAAGCTAATGTAGCTACCAAGGCTAGTAACGTGCAAACGACAGCTAAGAGATTAGCGAGAAAGTCGTAGAAAGGAGGAGAGCTATAAGTGCTTAAACAGAACTAGTGTGGGTTAAGACTTGAAGTAGACGTTAAAGCAACTGAAGTGAGAAAGCAGGCTAGTAGAATTCACCAGAGCAGTACAGAGACGCTGTCACAGAAACACCGGAAATGACACAACTCGCTTACCGCAATACGTCAGCACGTCCACCAAGGTGTGGACTTTTCTCTGAGAAAAGTCCACACCTAAGCCTTTTAAAACATCTGCAATGTGCTTCATCCAAAATCCTTCTGCCCACTGACGCTTCACTCCGCTGACATGCTCTGAGAACCAGAGACAACAAGAGAACCATTTAAAAGAGACAACTTTATTATACAAATAGGGAATTATAGTAAGAGCTGTAAAATCCATTTTTCCACTTGTTAAAGTTTCTCAATCAAATTCCTTTTATTGTAAGTTCCGTTGGGGGTGCCATGCCATTGTTCCAACGGCTGAAAATTAGAAAGCCCTATTAGCCAGAAAAAAGCCCCATTGGATCTAAAGCCCATTCTCTGACAGCTTTTATCCCAAAAACAAACTCCCGTTGCTCCCAACTCCCCTTTCTCCAAAAATACACATATCCTGCAGTTAGCTTGAGTATGCCTGCTTCTTTTGAGCTACTGATCCCAGGTGATTTTACCAACCCTTTGCTGCGTTTCCCAGCCACAATTGAGCCACCGATCCTGGGTGTTTTTATCAATCCTTTGCAACGTTCCCGCAGTGTTTGAGCCACCAATCCCCGGTGTTTTCACCAACCCTTTGCGGCATTTCCCAGTGGCGTTTCCAGTGGCATTTAAGCCACCAATTTATTGTTTTTACCTATCCATGGCCATGTTTCTCAGCATTTTTAGAGCCACCGATCCTGCATGTTTTTACTGACTTTTGGCAGCATTTCCCAGTGGCTTTTCCCAGGGCCATTTGAGCCACTGATCTCAGGTGTTTTTACCAACCCTTCACAGCGTTTCCCAGTGGCATTGGAGCCTGATCCTGGGTGTTTTTACAGACCCTTCACTGCATTTAATAGTAGCATTTGAGCCACCAATCCCAGATGTTTTACTGACCCTTTGCGGTGTTTCCCAGCAGCATGTGAGCCACAGATCCTGGGTGTTTCTAGCAACTCTGTGGTGTTCCCCTGCAGCGCATGAGCCACTGCTCACAGGTCTTTTAACCTATCCTTGGCCGACCCTTTGCAGTGTTTCCAAGCAGCACTAGAGCCACTGATACCAGGGCCCGTATTCACACAGATTCTCATAGTCCTCTCAGAGAGCTCTTAACTTAGCTTAAAAATTCCTAGCAAGGAATCTTATCTTATTAGTGATTCAGGAAGTTTCTGAGAGCAACTCTGAGCAAGGAGGGGACAGAAACTTTTATCTTAGTGAGGAGGTGTGGTTGACCCCGTTGCTAGGTATGACGCAGTCTTCTAAAAGCTGTGATTGGTTGTTACAAAAAGGAAAAAAGACAAAAAAAAAAGAAAAACAAATGCGCTCCTAGTAATGAATGAACAGTGAAATCAACCGATCATAGAACTTAGACTGTATTAAGAAATGTGTAATCGTGAAAATAATTTTATGTCATGATGATGAAACTCAGCAAAATTAAATTAATTGTTACACAGCTTCAAAATGTTTGAACGTACCTCATTCACATGACGATTATTATAGCCTATTGATTTGCTTATTGTTATGTTTACTCGCCATGCTGGTAATTTTACTACTTAATCTATTTGATATTAATGGTGGGCGCAGAATCAGCTGTCAGCAATTACTGTGATTGCTGGCCTCCTTGTAAAAAGCGGTTTGATTTGGCAGAATCACCAAAACAACTAATGAAATGGAGAAAAAAAGAACAAGAAAGCCAAACTGGACAGAAGAGCAGTGCCTGCTGTTGGCGCAGCTCGTGGAGGAGAACAACGGAGCTTTAAGAGGGAAATTCGGTCCCGGGATAACGGCACGAGGAAAGAGGCAGACTTGGGAGCGCATTGCCCGACAAATCAATGCGTCGTTCCCTCTCCTTTTACGCACAAGCGATGAGTCTGAGAAGCGCTGGTACGTGCTGCAATCCAAAGTAGGCATTATTGCGTTACTACGCTGGGTGGGAAAAGTAAGCTCATCCCTGATGAGGGCAACCACAAACATTATCCCTGCACGATCAAGCTGGTAGCGTCTTATTAAATCACTGTTTTTCAATATACTGAGAATATCTCTCCTTCCTCTCTGTCTTTCCGCCATCTTCTCTGTTTAAGACACTCTTAGGCTTCTTAAAAGTCCTCCTCCCTCCTCTTAACAGTTTTTCACCTTAGGAGCTCTCTTAATGCCTAAGATGCTTTGTGAATAACTTTTATCTTACCAAGGGAAAATGACGTCACTAAGAGCTACTTTTAGTCTTAGGATTCTTTGTGAATACGGGCCCAGATGTTTTCACAGACACTTCACTGTGTTTCTCAGCAGTGTTTGAGCCACCAATCCTGGGTGTTTTTACCAACCCTTCGTGGTGCTTCCCAGTGACATTTCGCTGCGGTCTTTGAGCCACTGAACTCAGTTGTTTTTCACTGACCCATGCTTCCTTTCCAGCAGCTTTTGTACCACCAAACGAAGGTGTTTTAGACTAAAACATGATCTTTTTCCTAAACGTAACTTTTGTTTTTTGAGAAATGACATTTGAAGCAATGGCCGTTTGTTTTTGGGATGACGGGCTGTCGGAGCAAAGGACTTTGGGTCCAATAGGACACAGATTAACAGGGCTTTAGAATTTTGGGTTGTTGGAACAAAAGGCAATCCCCCATTTTGGTTTATTTGCTACCAGGTCTGTTTAGGCTGAGTTATAGTTGCAGTCAGATGGGAGTTAGTAGGTAGTTCAGTAGGTAAATTACAAGTCCTCTTCAGGACAGGTTTATTTTCTCGCCCATGTAGTGAAAGACACTACGTCTACAGATATATTTTCCAAATATGGGGTTGCAGCACCATTTGCACAATCCACCCTTCATATGTTTCCAGTGTTTTGTTTGTTCATTATATATTGATTTTGCAGGATAACTGGTACCATCATTACTTGTATTTGTGTGTTGCAAGTAAAGTCAGCCTAAAAAGTGTTATTAGACATGCTTTTCATCTTAGTACCTCTTATTAGCATATCTTGTGTCATGTGTTTCTCTGAAAAAAAACACATTTGAGTTGTACTTTTAAAAGGCTGACATCTCTTTTTTGAAACAAAAGTACAGTTTCATGACCTTCAGAGAAAAAGTTCTAGGTAATGAAAGCTTCTTATTTCACTGTGCCTTTCTTTACCCCTCTTGGTGTTGTGCTTTCAGCCGTGAGTCATTATGGGACCCTGCCCAGCACAAAGACCATGGGTAACATCTCTGAACATGCTGTGGCACTTTCTATCCCCACCTCGCCGTCTCACGGCTCCCTGGCTCTCTACAGCACCTTCTCTCCTCCTCGCCAGCAGGTCGCTCACAACCCCAGCAGCACCCATTCTGAAGTGTCCTCACCCATCTTCAAGGGGGACGTGACACTGGACCACCGGCACAGGACACACCCTGCCAAGGTAGGGGCATGGCACTGGAGTTTAACTCTAATGATCAGAATAATGAAATTTCATGTATGCTGCACATTTCATACAAATATTGTAACACGGTATGCTTTGCAAAAGAAGAAGAAATATAGGTATAAAAGACAGGTGTAAGAACTGGGTAGAATTTATTTACTGTTTCTATCTATTAGTAGACTTTTTACTTTAATAGAGCTACTTCAGGAAAAAAAAAGTTTTGAGTATTTGTTTTACCACTGCAAATACCAACAATTCCCAGTTAGAGAAAGAATAAAAGGTGCAGCAAGATGGCTTTTGCCAAATTATTAAATCAGCCCCTGAAAAACACACGTCACCTGCAGCTACCTGCAGCTACTCGCAGCCAGAAACATGGGTGAAAAACAGAGTGGATGTATTAGTTGTATTAGTAGCTTACTTTGACCACCGTTGTCATAAAGTAGAGCACATGCGAATGTGATGACAGTGTCATCACATATACACACACATACATACATACATACAAAGGGAGATTCCTCTCTTTATAATTAGAGTAGATGGCTTAGATGAGGCTAAAAATGTCCATATCTTATTGTATTAAGTGTTGTTATTACCTCAGTGGTAGTACTAACCTCAGTGAAAAATACAGTGCATTTTCTGTAGCTGCTTTACAATAAAAGCCTCCATGTGATTTTCCCATGTATTGCTTTTAATGTGAAACAGGGGCACAGGAAGTGATCCCTTTGAATTAATGCAATTTAATACAGCAAACATGGGTGTGACACATCTGTTTGGTAAAAACGAAGAAATTGCCTTTAAACTGAAATGCTTTGAGATCAAGATGAAACCTAACAGGCTAGTCCTCACAGATTCAGTATAGAAATACATAACAAATCTTAAACACAGAGCATTTATAATCTTCATCATGAAGTATGACTCAGTGTTTGAAGGGAAAACAAATATACTTTCCCAGATGAAGTGTTCCTATAAAT